CAAACTGACATCAGGAATAAATGCGTCTCCTAACCAGGTGACTTCTTCTAAAGGGACAGCACTCATTTCCGGATAAATAAGGAACAAGTTACTTTTATCACGTTATTTTAATTTTATGCTAATTGCATTTCCATCTGCTCTTCTAACCACTCCTCCCCAACACTTTGGGGTTAAGAAGGCAGACAGGGACACGTGAAATTTACGGCAATGTTTTTCGGATATACCCAGGAATGCTGAACTGTGATTGTCATTACACTGTTCATAATTAAGACAGGAGAGTAGGAACAGAATTTCATCCTGAGCACTTCATTGAATGAACCAGGAAGAAAATAAAAACAAATCCTGAAAAAGAACTCCATGAAAAGTAAAACAAAACCGTGCCAGAAAAAGCAGGCAGTATTTTCTTTTGTTGTTTCCTTGACCACAAAGAGGTAAAAACACAAGTTGGCCAAGATTTATATGTATTCTGCTTTATTATATGCAAAACCAAACATACAATAATTATAACATCAAATAACAAACGTGCTGAATACTGTCAGGCCATTTGGAATGGTACTCTGTACATAAACAAATAGTGAATACTGCTTCACTGTGACTGGACATACAGGACCACTAGGAGTTTGGTATTTTTGTGTAACTACTCAAGTAAATTATCACAAAAGAGGAAACAAACAATACCTGTATCATGGAAGCCAGAACTTCTTATGTCTCTCTGGAAACAAACCTAATAGGTCCAAGAACCACCACAAATCCTCTTCTTTTCTGCAATCATAGGACCAATGACATCCTCTCCCCAAACTCTGTCATCAACCACCACTTCACGCCCTCAAGTTAGTTATGGCCCTTCAGCCTGCTTAGCCGTTAAAGGCTTGGGAAATAGTCTCAACCTAAGCCATCCAAGTGAATACTGATGTATTTCACATTTCAGTTTTGTACTTTATTACAACTTTGTCCATCAACTGAGTCTAAGCCTGAAGAATGTCTTCTTACATTCTCTAAACATACTTTTTGGTTGCTTTTTTTTTTTTTTTAACCATGGATTGTTATTATTGGTTCAAATACAATGAGTCTGTAAACAACTCCCTGGAAATGAGGCACTTTTAGAAATACAATGGCTCATGTCACTAGACCGTCAGGACACTCAGTGGTTTTGAATCAATGAACTGAATGAGTTCACAACTTGACTCCTCACAGCTGTCTGCTCGAAACAGGAAGATTCTCCTCTACAGCGTTTGGTGCACTAAGATGTGGTAGGTGTGTGTATCAGAAATCATAAAATTACTAATTGTGCTTATGTAAATTCTGCAACAAATCTCACTTTAAAAAACGTAACACTGTTCATGAGGAGCTCTGAGCCAATCACAACGCTACTGGCTAAAACGCAGGCTCAACCAGAGACGACCAGTAAACAAGCAGTCTCTTTCTCAGGCTTTTCCGTCTTAACATATTACTGTCGGACTATTCCCCAAAGACACCAAAAACACCAAAACCCAGACCTGTGGCCATCGAGTCGATTCGGACTCATAGCGACCCTACAAGACAGAGTAGAACTGCCCCATAGGGTTTCCCCCAAATGAAGCCACCAAAATCAATTAAATGAGCTAGGAACAAACATAGGAACATTCGAGGCATTGCCTAGAAATTTCTCAATCACGATGGTCTTCAGGAAAAGTCCAACACTCACCCTTACCCAGTCGGGATTGCTGAGATTGCCACAAGGACACATTCCTGGGAAAGGCAACCGCTCAGTGTAAACCTTTCAGTGTTAATACAAGGAGTCCAGGTGTAGTGACATCATGCTCGCAAAGATGCATCAGCCAGGAAACACCATGAAGAGCTGCGTAACAGTCGAGCAGAGAAATGTCTCAGTGAGGCGCAGGCACGGATGATGGGCTAACTCAGCCCTCACAAGCTAAAGGGCTTAGGAACCACAGAAGGGAAAGAGTCGTGCAACATTTTCAAATACAATATGTCTACTGAGTACAAAAGTTACAGTGTATTTGAGGACTATGGGAGTAACGCCTACTGTATGTACATCTTTCACTCACATAAAAAGGTGTAAGATCTTATTGTAAGCACAGGCTCTGCCCAGTAGGGTGGTGTGAGAAATAAAGAATGTCAGAGGGAATCTGTAAAGATCGGGAAATAAAGTCCTGGAAGAAAAGGTTATCCAAAAAAATCTCCTACCTTGCTTTGTACGATTAATATCAGATTTTAAAAGGGATCTTAACATCACCCCTTTGCACATTATTTTAATTATAAATGCATCTTGTCCTGTTATGCTGGTGACTTCTAAAGGGCCTTTGGTGACATTTACCACTGTGTGAGAAGTTTGCAAAATATACACTTTCAAATAAAAAATGTCAAGGGTCGTTTGCCCCCAAAAAACATAAAAATAGAAATGTGTACGTAGAAAACAAATGGAATTATTGTTTGAAGGGATAAAATTAACGACAGTCATTAAAATATACTGCATATCAAGTAGTAGCCGACCAAAGTTTTTGAAAGATGTTCACAAGTCTCAACAGAAAGCTCACCGCACAACTGGCGAAGCAAGCAGATGTTATTAACTGCAATGAAATGAGAAGCACTTCAGAGAGCTAGGAAGCTAGAGGACCAGATAAGGATGTTAAAACCATATTCATTAACTTGATTCAGAGTCCCCCCTCCATCCTGAAATGGCCCCTGAAATCCTCCCTCCAGCCCCCCAAAAAAAAGGGAGTTGTTAAATCCTGTTCTTGAAAACTATATAATTTTTAACCAAAGACATCAGGCCCCAGGCCCCAAATCTGTAACTTAATAACTGTCCCATGTAAAGTGGTTCCATGTGGTTTTATCCTATTATAGGCTCTTCGTTTACAAATTCTGAAAAGTGATTTTCCCGTGGCTCCTCTTTAAGGAAACCATCGCGGAAACCATACATTCCAGAAATTCTAATGTGTCAAATATTTCATTCTCACTAAACAGCAATGATCATGCTTGAACCCACTGACTTTTCAACTGGAAAACGTCTGCAAATTATTTTAACATCAGTTTAGAGAACTCAAAAATGGACCTCCCCAACCATCTCTAAATGTAAAACGTCTTAAAAACAAAAACACGGGGTAAGGGGAAAGATATTAAAGCACTAGATTCCACTGGCTCTAAAGAGCAAGCAGTTTAGTGATACATGCATGACTTCACTTCCATATAAAAACTCCCCTGCCCTACTCCTGCACTTGAGGGAGAGCGGAAGCTTCTCTTAGGGGTGAAATGGATAGAAATCATGCTTGAATAGCTGATACAAAAGCAAGGGCATGGGGGAGAGGATGGCCGAGAAGCACTACTATTCCAAATGTTGAGGATTGTACCCCATTGAAGATCACACGTACTATGTTACCTACTCATGCGCAAGCGAGTATCAGGAGATAAAATTTACTTAGCTCTGTTCTACAAAGAAATGCAGGCTGATACTTGTGTTTCCTTGAGGCTGCCTGGAAAGTCATCTTCCTGCCCCTTTCTTTATATGACACCTAAGTTGGTTAATTTTTATTGAAAGGGCTCTCATTTGCTTAAGACTGTTACTACAAAGAAAGGCTTATTGAAAGGCACCTCTCTTTGAAAACCACCCTATTGGGGGTTTAAAAAAAAAAAGCCTGTTGCCAATGTGGAGTCAGATTCTGACTCATAGCAACCCTATAGGACAGAGGAGAACTGCCCCATAGGCTCTCCAAGGAGCAGCTGGTGGATTCAACTGGTGACCTTTTGGTTAGCAGCCAAGTGCTTAACCACTACACCACCAGGGCTGCTGGGGGTAGTGAGTGGAATAAAGAACCAATCAACTACTCCAATGCCAGTCACCATAAAATGTCTTAAAAGTCACAGTATTGTAACTTTGGAAGCACTCTATATTTGAATACCCATGGGTCTTCACAATTCATCATTTCATCTGTTATTCGAATTTATCTGTGCTTTGCTTTACGCCGTTGGTTTCAAGGTTTTTCTCACTGGATGTATTGGCACGACTGCCATTACTGGCGTTTCCCTTTTTCTTGAGATGTGCGTGTGCTTGTGTTCCGGGGGCCTTACAGGGGACTGCCAAGTCAAGAATCATGCCTGAGGGTTTGGGGATTCCGAGATCTCCGCTGGTGTGAATCCTGGAGCTGCCGTCACCGCACGCCAAACCCCGACGCTGCAGCTCGTCACCGCACACCAAACCCAGACGCTGCAGCTCGGTGCCCTTACCTATCTTCCTTTTCTTCCCCTCCCTCCTCACTTCCAGGACCTGCTTCTTTGAACATGACCTGCTGCTACCCCGGGCGTCCGCAGGTCTGGGGGAGGTCTGAAATGCGACATACCGACAGGTGTCTTCCTGGCGCAAATCCTTCTTTTGTGAAGGACCTGGCTTCGAAGCCCCTTCCTGCTGAGGTAGTGGCTTGGGTAGAGCAGCAGCAATGAGCTTCCTTCTCCTGGGGCTCTTCAGGGCCCAGGAGGTTCCAGGGGCAACTGGCGGCCTTGTTTTGGCCCCCTTCCCTTTCTCAGTCTGCACGGTCTGGATCTGCAGCCACTCGAGCTGAACAAGCCGATTGATGTACCTCCTGAGAAGTCCTCCTGCTCGGGGCACGGCGTCCAGCTTGCCCTCCGAGTTCAGAAGCACGGCCATATCCTGTAGGTTCCAGGAGTTGAAGGGGGGTGGGAGAAAATCAGGGTAACAGTATCCAGGCTTTGAGTGGTCTTGATCTGGGGAACGACGGAAACAGGCTGGATTGATCTCTTCAGCTCTGAGCTGAAGATCCGGCGGGGTGAGAGGCGAAGTGTGGATGGGAATTCTCTCTGAGTCCGAGAGGTCACTTCCACTGTCCTCATCAGCATCCTCTTTAAAAATCCTCATGGACTCAAAGTCCAGAAACAGTTTGTTCCCTGAGGCCCCCTGACACCTGGGACTGAGCGGACTCCTTCCAAGCTTTCCTTGTGGGTAAGTGCTTTCTGGAGGTTCATCCTCAGCCTGCTGGGAGGTCGCTACGAGGCTGCTTTTCAGCTGGGAAGAAATGCGGGGGACTTGGGGTTTATTCTGTCTTTTTCCTGAAGAGTTCTTTACATGTTGTACTTTCCTCCAAGATGGCTCAGCATTCATGGTGCTGTGAAAAAGAACACCGCAGTTAGCAGCAGGCGTGGCAAAAACTGGCCTCTATGATTGAACGGACAGAAGAAGGGATCCTCCAGCTCTACTTGTCAGGTATCGCTGCCATTGTTGTTAGACGCCACCAGCCGATTTCTACCCTTAACAACTCCACGTGACAAAGGAGAACTGCCCATAGGGTTTTAGAGGCTGTCATCTTTACCGGAGCAGATTCAGGTATTTCTCCCCGGAGCCTCTGGCTGGCTTAGAACCACCCACTTATAAGTTAGCATCCAAGTGCTTAACCACTGTGCCACCAGGGCTCCTTTGTTAGGAATTACTCAACCTGTTACCGTGGATTCCAACTTAAGAATTAAAAAACTGAACACCTTCTAACTCACAAAACAAGACCTGACCTCCTAGCCTGACAGAGACTGGAGAAACCCCGAGAGTATGGCCTCCGGACACCCTTTTAGCTCAGTAATGAGGTCACTCCCAAGGTTCACACTTCAGCCAAAGATTAGACAGTCCCGTAAAGCAAAAAAGAGACTAATGAGCACAACAGCCCAGGGACAAGGACTAGAAGGCAGGAGAGGACAGGAAAGCTGGTAATAGGGAAACCAAGTTTGAGAAGGGAGAGTGTTGACATGTCATGGGATTGTTAACCAATGTCATAAAACAATATGTGTACTATCTGTTAATGAGAAACTATTTGTTCTGTAAACCTTCATCTAGAGTACAATAAAAATAAACAATTCGGGAAAAAAACTGAAGGGCCATTGATGGTTATGAAGAAGTGGAGGGGTAAAGAGGGGAAATCACTAACTAGATAGTAGACAAGTGTTAATTTTAGTGAAAGGAAAGACAACACACAATATTGGGGAAGTACGTACAACTTGACAAAGGCAAAGTCATAGAAGCTTCCTAGATACATCCAAACACCATGAGTGACCGAGTTACTGCGTTGAGGGCTGGAGACCATGGTCTCGGGGGACATCTAGATCAATTGGCATAGCATAGTTCATAAAGACAATGTTCTACATCATACTTTGGTGAGTAGCGTCTGGGATCTTAAAAGCTTGTGAGCGGCCATCTAAGATACATCCATTGGTCCTGTCACATTCGGAGCGAAGGAGAATGAAGAAAACCAAAGACACAAGGAAAATATTAGTCCAAAGGACTAACGAACCACGTGAACCATAGCCTCCACCAGGCTGAGCCCAGAAGAACGAGATGGTGCCCAGCCACCACCACCGACAGCTCTGACAAGGATTACAACAGAGAGTCCCCGACAGAGCAGGAGAAAAATGTAGGACAAAATTGAAATTCACAAAAAAAGACCAGACTTACTGGTCTGACAGAGACTGGAAGAACCCGAGAAACTATGGCCCCCAGACACCCTGCTAACTCAGAACTGAAGCCACTCCCAAGGTCCACCTTTCAGCCAAAGAACAGACAGGCCTATAAACAAATAATAACACATGAGGAATGTGCTTCTTAGTTCAATCAAGTATAAGACACCAAATGGGCAACACCTGCCCAAAAGCAAAGCTGAGAAGGCAGGAAGGACATGAAAACTGCATGAATGGACATAGGGAACCCGGGGTGGAAAGGGAAAGTGGGAGAATGCTGACACATTGCAGGGAATGCAACCAATGTCCCAAAACGATTTGTGTATAAATTTTTGAATAAGAGACTAAAAAAAAAAAAAAAAATTGAAGGCCTCCAAACTCCTCTGCAGAACAAATAGTTTTACAGAACAATATTTACATGGAATTCTATTTAACAAATGTTATATGTACATGTGCCCGAAGTGAATGCATGGATTCTATTTTATGTCAAATATTAACACTTAAGAAAATCATTGACATTTCTCAAAGTGTTAATGTTATAATCTTATGGCAATTGTGTGTGCTTTAAAAAACACTAATTTGGAAAAAGTTTGTCACAGAACTCTCATTCTGTTGTTAAATGAACTTGTGTGCTGAGGAGTTGATCCCAACTTATAGCAACCCTATAGGAGAGAGTAGAACTACCCTGTAGGTCATCCTAGGCTGAAATCTTCACGGGAGCAGATTACCAGGTCTCTTCTCCTGCGGAGCCACTGGTAGGTTAGAACTGCCAACCTTTTGGTTAGCAGCCAAGCACTTAACTGTTCTGCCACCACGGCTCCTAGCTGTTAATGACTAACCCGTTGCCACTAAGTCAACTGCGACTCATAGCAACCCTATAGGACAGAGCAGACCTGCCCTGTAGGGTTTCCAAGGAGTGGCTGGTGGATTTGAGCTGCCGACCTTTTGGTTAGCAGCTGAGCTCTCGACCAATGCACCACCAGGGCAGTGTTTAATAACATTAACAAAGAAAATCCACAGATTTCTGTTATGTACCTGTTTTAAATTACATATACATAAGATGTAAAACGCCAAGTTTTACAGAGTTTGACCACCAATTGGTAGGGATTCTGAGCTACTAAAATCTTAACATGTAAGGGTGGCATACACAACCTATCCCTTAACCCGAAAGCTCACAGAAATGCTTTCAATAGGAGGCACACTCAGGAGAATTGGTTTAAAGGGTGGAAACAAAATCGTATGGTGCCTTATCACACAATATGAATGAAAAAATAGGGTTAATGTTACCTTGTGAATGGCAGGAAAATGGAATTAATTAACACTGTGTGCATTACACACACACACACACACACACACACAATTACAGAAGCCCTGGTGGCGCAGTGGTTAAGAGCTATGGCTGCTAACCAAAAGGTCAGCAGTTCAAGTCCACCAGGCACTCCTTGGAAACCCTATGGGGCGCTCTACTCTGTCCTATAGGGTCGCTATGAGTCAGAATTGACTTGACGGCAATGGGTTACGTGCGTGTGTGTGTGTGTGAATACAGTATTCATTAATTCCATCTACCTGCCATTTACAAGGTAATATTAATCCTATTCTTTCATTCATATTGTATTATAACATGGCGCTTTGGTGACGCAGAGGTTAAACGCTTGGCTACTAACCGAAAGGTCAGCGGTTCAAACCCCCCAGCTGCTCCTTGTGTGGCAGTCTGCTTCCGGAAAGATTACAGCCTTGGCAAACCGATGGGGCAGTTCTACCCTATCCTGCAGGGTTGCTATGAGTTGGCATCAATTCAGTGGCAATGGGTTTGGTTTGGTGTGCATTACTAGTATAACAACTAATTCTTTCTGGAATAATTTTCTCTTCACATCAGAGCTGTTATACTGTTAAAACTTCTGTTGACAACTAGCCACCAGCATGTATCCATAAAGGTTAATTGTTATCAGCATCCTTTTTACATAAAACGAACCTAACATAGAAAAGAAACTTAGCCCAAGCTGCAGATTCTGCCAATGTGGTCAGAAACATGACTTGTAGAATCCTTACCAACTAGCAGTATTTAAAACAATTTTGCCAGCTCACGTTTGCTCGTCACATAAATGTACATATTTTTACCCACAGACACATTTTTTCCCAGTCACACACAAATGCAATCTGGAGAACTGAAGTAACTTATCTTTTGCAAGATAAAGCAATTATATAAAAAAAAACCTATTTACCTGTTTTTCTCATAAGATTCATTCACCCTATTCCCCTTCTTGAAAAAAATACACGGCTCATCATCATCTAGGGTTCGACGGACCGTCTGAAAAACAGACATGTAGTAATAAATAGTGTGATACACACACACCCCAAACAAACAAAAAGCAAATCGAGACACGTTTCTCCTTCAAAGTTTACATCACCTTTTCTGTAGTGCTCGGAATATTCTTGCTCAATTTGCTGGAAGATGATGACAGCTGGGGAAGTGATTTCTTTATTCCTCTTATATTTGGAAAGGACTCCCGGCTCTCAGAACTAGAAGCAACAGGGCACTGTCAAGTTAGTATTTATCGTGAATGGTCCTAACACCAGTATCGCGCTGGTTTTTCACTTGATTGATTTTTAATATTTGCAGAGTGAAGAAATATTGGAGGGGGTTTACATAAGTTGCCTTATGTTTACAGTTTAGCCTTCTTTCCTTGTTTCTTATTCACAGCAGATATTAGATATAAGATCCCACTAGTATAAATACTGCAATGGGTCCTCTCTTTCTCTCTGTATCTATGTGTGTATGTGTGTGTGTCCTCTCTTTCTCTCTGTATCTATGCGTCTCTCTTTCTCTCTGTATCTATGCGCGTGTGTGTCCTCTCTTTCTCTCTGTATCT